AAGTTGTTGTATAAGGAAGTGAATTGTTTTATATTGATTTGGTGGGTAACAAGTTTAATCTTTAATTTCGGTTGTAAGATGTCTTTGGAATCAGGGGAATTATTGATTTGCTATTATATTCATGGAGGTAAGATTCATTAACTATTCTTTTAAATTGTTTTTATGAATTTGGGGAAAACAACCGGTTTAAAACCGGTTAACCAAACCGATTATTTAGTTTGGTTAGAAACCGGTTTATAAGAAAAATCGATTCAGTTTCGGTTTTACTTTTCTTTGAACCGGTTATCTGGTTCAGTTAAAAAATAACCGAAACAGTTCGGTTCATCGGATTTTGCCACCCTTACATTCTATACGAGACTTTATATTTGATTACTTGTATAAATATATATTAAAACATTATAGGCAAGACTTTATCCACATAATATTGTATATATAGATATATATAATCATGATTTAAGGTGATTAAGAGTATTTAAGAAAAAAATACTTTGTTATCAATATTCAGAACATATATACATAAAACATTGATATAGAGAAAACATTTTTATTTTTACAGTTCTCTCTATTTTATCCACACAACATTCAAATCAATACATAAAAAATATTTTTTTATCCACACAACATTCATATCAATGTACGTAAAACATTTATTATCCAACTCTATCTATTTTATCCACACACAACATCTAGATCAATTACAAAAAACATTTTTTTTATCTCGAAGCTATTTTATCACAATATGAACTAGCATATTCATTTGTTGGCAAAAATGAGATAAAAGGTGTACCTTTGTATGAAAATGTGTTAAAAATCAATGTGTTGCAGACGGTTCTAACACTTGCAATAAGGGATTACACTTATAACTTTGGATGATAAACGTTTGACGCTAGAAAAAATATGTACTTACAATAAGGGATTACACTTGTAACTTTGGGAGATAAAACGAGTAACTCTACATGTTTTTTTGTCTTTTTAAAGCAATTTAATTATTACAACAAATAAATTCCTACTTTTCAATTTCTATTTTTAGAAACATGGAAGTAATAATTATTTCTTTCTCGTTTTAAATTGTTTGTTCTCCCAAAAGCAAGGTTTAGGAGCCAAAAATAATTTTATTTTACTAAATGATAAATTTGTAAATTTACTTTTCTAAAATTTTTTTTGATCCGGATCAGCACAACCCATTTGATTTAAATGGGGAATGAGGAGGGATCAGGGATGGTTGGGGGTGCGGAAAGAATGAGGAATGAGGAATTGGCCTGGGGTTTGGTGATGGATTGGATCGATGGATGGCACAGTGTGAATTGACTGGGCATGAGGCTGCAGAATTTGACAAGACCAAAAGCCAGTTAGACAAATGTCCAGAGTCTGATGGGGGACCTGTTGCCCTTATATGGTCAAATCTATATCTCTCTCTTTATCGTCATCATCTCTCTCTCTCTCTTTCCAATAAAAACCTTATTGTNCAATCGAATCTAGTAAAAATTAAGCAAATATCAGAGTCGCGTCATGCGTGTGGTGTAAAATTGCACATCACATAATTTATGGTTATGGCCCGATCTATATCTTCCGGGGATCTCATTTATTTAAAGAAAATTGACACATCATTGGGAGTAAAAGCCCTCGAGAAGGGAGCAGTGGTGATATTGTGTTGTGTGTAGCCAGCCAGCTGGAGAGCCTGGCTACATGCCGGTCAAAACGGGTGATGCTTATAATAAACAATTGGAAGAGAATCGTGATTATGCATATTTGAAGAACAAAACTGAATATTACTAGTACTGGGTTACAACTCACAAATAAAAAATTAATTTGAAGTTGAATAAATAGAGTGCTGAATTTGGTAATTTGGACAGGACGCATAAATGAAATGCTTTGGTAAGAGCGACCTTGTTATTATCGGTCTGAGTCATTGTTGAATTGAGGGCTTCAAAAATTAGTCAGAACATGATTCTGTCTTTTACACCACATGTGTACTGAAAAACACTGTGGAAGCTGTTAATAAAATGGAACCAAATTTATTTTCTTTAAAAAGTTTTCGTTAATTTTCAATATTTTTATTTGAGTAAACGACATATTCCCACCCAAGGTTTGATGAAATCCCAAGTTAGTATCACTTGTTTCATTTATTCTAGATTCTCACCTTTAAAGTGACAGAAAAACGTTTGATGTAACGGTAAATGAGTAAATTGGTCATTTTACATGGGCGGGGCACGTTAGCAGACCACCGTCTCTAACAGTTCTCTGGTGCACGTTAGCAGCCATCGTTCCATATGTTTTTCGCTCTTTTCTGGCAATTCTTCCACCCAAAATCACCCTTGTCACCACCATTTGAACCCTCATCCACCCCTTTACAAAACCATATCATTCACAACCCCTCATCACTAGCCGATAAAGGTGGAAAAGTAACCCACCCGACCCGGCCCGCGGCGGGTTACTTTGTTTGGCGGGCCGGGCCTAACCCGCCCGCCAACAAAGGCAGGCCGAGTTAGGCCCGCCATTTTCTCCAAAATGGCTAGCCCAGCCTGGCCCGCCAGCCCTAACCCGCCGGGTTAGGTGGCGAGTTGGGCCGGGTTAGCCCGATTTTCCTATTTTTGTTTTTTTTTTTTATTTAACTTTTCAAATAAATAATTATAAATATAATTGTTTTTAATTAACTTTTCTAATATCAATAATTCAATTCAATTTTTTTGTTTGTTAACATTTCAAATATTAATTTAATTTTGATACAATCAAATTATAATATAAGAAAAATTAGACTTATTGAAGTATAGAAATTGGAATTTGGAAAATTGGAAATATGAATTAAAAATTGCAAAATCTAATAAAAATTAAAATATGAGCAAATTGCAAAAACTAATAAATGAATAATTGAGAGATTAGAGATTAGAGAATATGAGAGAATGAGAGAATTTGAGTTGTGAGAAAAATGTGAGAACTTAGGGCCAATTTATAGGAAAAAATGGGAAAGAGAAATGACGAAAAAGACCCTTTCAACGGCTATAAAACGGTTATATTTCAAAGGTAAAAAGGTAATTTGAAAAACAAAATAAATTTTTTTTTTTTTTTCGGCCAACCCGCCGGGTTGCACACAACCAACCTGGCGGGTTGCCGGGTCTCTTGCAAAAGAGACAAAATAGAAACCCGCCGGGTTGCGGGTTGCCATTGTGCAACCCGGCGCGCCCGGGGGTTGCTACCGGGTTAGGGTCAACCCGGACCGCCATCTTGGCGGTCCGGGCTTAACCCTCATTTTCCCGGGCCGGGTTAGGGTTGACCCGCCTAACCCGGCCCAAATTTTCCACCTCTACTGGCCGATCTCCAGCCACGGCAACGAAAAACGGTCGATGAACACGAACTCTCGGCCGGCGAAAGACGACGAAACTGTTGCTGGGGACATAGGGGTTTTATAGATTTGGGGACGGTGGTTGCATTGGTGGTGTCCAATTGGATTTTCACCGCCAGAATCGGCCGAAATCCGGTGAAGAACACCGAAACCCTAAGCCTAACGGTGCCGGCGATTGGAGGGGCAAATGAATCTGGAACCAGAGGGGTTTTGGACGACGGACTACGGGGAAGCTGATGGAGGTGACCAGGGGGTTCGACGTCGTCTGAAACAGCCCAGATCAGGCTGTTTCTGGCAAGGGTGTATAGTGATCGAGGGTGTTTTTGATATAATTTGAAAATAAAATGGTAAGTTTTGTAATTCTACTAATTTAGGGGTTAAAACATAATTTATTAATTTAGGGTTAAGGGCATTATAGTAATTGCACCCTCTAAACCCTAAAAATTCATAACACTGTTACTTTAAAGGTGAAAATCTGGAATAAATGAAACCAGTGGTACTAATTTGGGATTTCATCAAACCTTGGGTGGGAATATGCCGTTTACTCTATTTATTTATTTGTGAAATAAAAGTTCAAAATTACAGATTTAATTTGTTCCATTCAAAAGATAGTTCACATACTCCAGTTGTACACTAATTGATTATTCACTTATTTAACAATAAACATGCCCACTTAAATGAGGAAATGTCACTTGATATCCATTCATGCATCGATCCGCCATAAAAGTTGCTTTGCTCTGCAAACACATCCCACTTCCAACCAATTCTCAACTTACTAATGCAGGAATTAATTTTAATAGCTTTTGGTTGGCGGTCATAACAGTACTCATTTCATCCAAGAGAAGTGTAGATTTTGCTAATATGCAAAACCATTCCTTTTACCGACTAATTTTAACAAACAACATGGTCATGTAATATTTTGTTAAGGTATTGTTATAAACAAAGAGGAAAAAAGTTTTGGGCATAGTNGGATAGGGAATAGGGTAGAGAAAAATTGTGTACCCAAGGGGTCCCTTGTGAGAAATTTAAATGCTTCTTTTTCAATGTAGCAAACACAGGGTGGCAAGGGCCCCTTGTGAGAAATTTAAATGCTTATCTGGAAAAGGAAGCACCAACTCTTGACCCATCCATCAAAGAATAGATTGTGAAACACGTTAAAACTTTTGAAGTCATCTCTTCTCTTCTCCCCCTCCCCCATTCTTCCTATTTTGCCAGCTTGTTTTCATTCAACTTTTATTTGAATTTTCTTCAAGAACCATCTCTGCAGTCTTTTCTTTTGAAAAACAAAAAGTGAAAAAAGGGTGAATTAATTTACTTTTATTATCATAATTAAATGAAATAATTACTTATCATAACCAAAATAATAATGTTTAATGTCAATAAATAAAATAAAAAAGAATTAGGGCAAAAATTTATTGTCACCCCCAATTTTGGCATGATATCAGTTAGCTACATTTTCTTAATTTATCAAAATAATTAATTGAGTTTTGCGCGATTAGAATTAAAAATTTATTTAACGCCAGGTTGTGTGCCTAACGAAATGACGTGGCAAAATGTAATTAATATTTTAGTGGGTCCCACGTGTAGACCCAACGACCCTGGCCCACCTTTACCTCGTCTATATATATATATATATATATATATATATAAATGGAAGAGGCACAAATTTGAAATTACAAACCCGAAAAATCTCTCACGTCGACAGCCACCACTACAAACTCACGGGCGGTGGCGGCGGGGCCTATGTCGAAATTCAACGTGCCGCCGCCACCACCATCAACATTGCCGAGGCCGCTGTACAAGCAGCGGTCGTGGTCTCCCGATGCGGAGCGAGACGAAGCGTGGCAGCGGCGGAAGGGGAATTATAAAATGCATTGTTGTCGACAACGCAGCAAGAGCGTTACAGACGACGATTTACAAGAGTTGAAAGGGTCTATCGAGTTTGGTTTCGGATTTGAACCTGATTCGCCGGTACTTGATCCGAAATTATCGGATACTTTACCCGCTTTAGGGTTTTATTGTGCTGTGAATAAACAGTATAGTAATAGATTGTCGAGGTCCTCGTCGACATCCTCCATTTTTTCTGATAGCGATTCCTGTAGTTCTAGTACCATTTTTGATGCAGGTATGCAAACAAACATAAAAAATAGGGTTGTTTTTGATAGTTTTTGAAAGTGGTGAGGTTCAAATTTTATGATGTTTTATTTTGATCTAATGGTTGTCTTTTTGTGATTATAGGTGAAGATCCAGAAACGGTGAAGGTGAGATTGAGGCAGTGGGCGCAGGTGGTTGCTTGTTCGGTAAGGCAATCCGCAGGAGATTGAGAAAACGGCGTCGTTTTTTTGTGTAAAATACTTGATTCATTTTACTTAGTGTCAAAGTTTCTGGATTGGTTATGTGGTGATGTTAATGTATTATTGATTTTGACAAGGCAGCTTCTACTGCAAATTTTATTATAATTTCTTCTCAGACCATTAATCGTTGCACTAACATCAAATTCTTTTATTTATTTATTTATTTTTTTAATGATAATTTGGTAAAATAAGAAGTGAATGGTTGAACAAGAACACCACCAAGTTTGAAGATCGAAGAGAGTTAAACCGCAATTTGAGGTATCAGTAGATACTTTACCTAAAACTTTCCTTTTCATTTAATATTTCATTGAGATTTTCAATATTTTGATATTCAACTTAACTGATTTACTGTAAAATGCATTTCATAGATGTAAATGAGAAACTATACTCTTATCATTTCATGGGCTGTGTTCTCTTTCCCAACCATCCCAACTCTCAACCTCGAATATTTCCCAACTCTCAACCTCGAATATTTAGTCGAGGGTAGAAGAACAACTTTCCATACTTTTGATGTATGTATAACCTCTAGAATATAAAAATACTACATTTACAACCCAATCTCATAACATTTTCTTATAACACTACCATGTCAACTGATAGGTTTGATTAAACATGAACGGACGTGCTTTAGAGATGAACAATCATTCTTCAGGGATGAACGACCGTTTATTCATAAGGAATTATTGTTTTATTCATAAGGAATTATTGTTTTATTCATAAGAAATAGCGGTTGTTTCTTCATAAAGAACATTGACTGTTCGTTCCTAAGAAACAACCGTTCGTATTTAGCTAAAGTCATTTAATGTTTTAAGTACGGTATGAGTTAACGTGAGAGTTGTCAATTCAATTGTCACGTTAGGATTATAAAAGAAAGTTATAAGATTGTGTTGTGGGCGTGGTATTACGCATAAGTGTATATATACATATATTGATGCGAATCATCCTTATTGGGTGATTGTACGTGCATGTATGCATATGATCAATCTCTCAAAATTCATTGGGTTGGGTTTAATTGATTCCAATCATATAATAGGCCGATGACAAGTTGAGAACTAGGATGACTAGTTATGAAAGAGCCCATAACATGTAAATTATATGGCCCGTGTCGTGTCTTGAAGTTATGAGATTTGAACACTCAAATTTTCTACCATCTCTCCTATTATAATAAACTAATGTTAAGCAAATCATGTTCTTAGGCACAACTTAACATTCTTTTACATGAACAGTAAAACTTCTCTATAATTATAATATTGAGACCAACTAAATTTATTACTATGAGGAGGTTATAATTTAATAGAAGTGTAGTTACAAGAATTATTGTTTTGATTCCAAAATTATTATTTTGATTTTTGATTTTATAATTCATATTTTAGTAGTATTAAGATTTCAATTTATTGTTTTATTAGCATTAGGATAGTAACGAAAATGGATATTAAAGAGTCATTGCAAAATTGAGTGATTAGATTCGACCACTTCACTATAATCAAATGGATATTAATGTCTTCATCAATCATCCAAATAAGCAATAAGTCGTGTATACTTTAACTGAAGAATAATTCATTATTGGAATTAAACAATAAAAGTAAGGAGGTAATCCTGAAGATGATAGTACGGAAATACCAAAAGTTTCATGCTAAGAAGCTCTAAACATGCTTAAGAAACTAAAAATATTTTGGCTTCAACTAGAAGGTGTTTATGCTGGTGATTTATTACATACTCGCAAGATAGAAGATGTGGTAACAACTCTAAAACATAAATNGCGGGTTGCACACAACCAACCCGGCGGGTTGCCGGGTCTCTTGCAAAAGAGACAAAATAGCAACCCGCCGGGTTGCGGGTTGCCATTGTGCAACCCGGCCCGCCCGGGGGTTGCTTCCGGGTTAGGGTCAACCCGGACCGCCATCTTGTTGGTCCGGGCTTAACCCTCATTTTCCCGGGCCGGGTTAGGGTTGACCCGCCTAACCCGTCCCAAATTTTCCACCTCTAGGCACAACTCAACTTCTTTTATATGTATAGTAGAACCTCTTTATAGTTATAATATTGAGATCAACTAAATTTATTACTATGAAGAGATTATAACTTAATAGATATGTAGTTATAAGAATTATTATTTTGATTTCTTATTTTATAATTTATGTTTTAGTAGTATTATAATTTTAATTTATTGTTTTAGTAGCATTAGGATAGTAACAAAAATTGATATCAAAGAGTCATTGCAAAATTGCGTGATTAGATTCGACCACTTCACTATAATCAAATGAATATTAATGTCTTCATCAATCATCCAAATAAGCAAGTCGTGTATACTTTAACTGAAGAAGAATTCATTACTGGAATTAAACAAGAAAAGTAAGAAGATAATCCTGAGGATGATAGTACGGAAATATCAAAAGTTTTATGCAAATAAGTTATAAACATGCTTGAGAAACTATAAATATTTTGGCTTCAACAAGAAGATATCTATGCTGGTGACTTATTACATACCTGTAAGATAAAAGATGTGGTAACAACTCTAAAGCATAAATCATTGTCCCAAACAACTTTAGATAAATATTTTATTTCATATTAAACATTTGATGTAACATAACATATATTTTTTGCAATATACATATAATTATTACTATGTAGAAGCAAGTTCTTTAGGACGGACCTAGAAAAATTATAACTTATTATAATGTGAAATTTATTCTTATTTATAACTAACCCAAGTTAAGACCAGAATTTTTTATAATTACATGGAGGTTATTCCTATATAGAGTATCATTATAGAGAAGTTATACTGTATATACATATGGTGTACTTTAAAGCATAAATGTAATCTTAAATTCAAAATAAGTAGAAAGTAGTTTAAAATGTAAATTGAGCAATATTCAAATACGACTAACTTAGGTAGACTTAGAAATAGAAAACGACTATTTAAAATAGATTTAAGAGGTCAAACTAGGGATGAAATAGAGTCGAGTCGAGTATCTGGCTATCCGAACTTGACTTGATTGCTACAGTACCGAATTCGAGCTTGACCAAGCCTGAGGAATCAAATTCGAACTTGAACTCAAACTCGATACTTGAAATTAGAATTCGAGTTTGAATTTGAGCTCGTTAAATCGAGTTTAATCTAGGATAATTGAGTTTTTCGAGTCGAGTTGTATCGTGATCAAACTTGGCTCGAATCAGTATTCAAGCTATTTGAGCTACTCGACTATTGTCAAGTCGAGCCAAAGACAATTGACCGGAGCTCAGCTCGATTTTCACCCCTTGGTCAAACCCATGAATTTAAAGGAAATAGAGGTGCTGATATGGCTATTAAAAGAGTTTATGTGTTTACGTGGCTTTGATGTCGTAAGGAAAAAGTGTGAAAGTGTGTAATTACTTGAATTTAGCAATTGTAGCTAATTTTTTCTATTTCCCCTCCAAGATCTAAAAAGGCTATAAAAGAACTTGTTCTCTCTCTCATTTTCTCTCCATCCAAACACTCATTTTTCGCCCATTAAAATCACAGACCCACAAAATCTTCACCTCTAATTATTCATCCTAAATGAGCTCTCAATTGTTGGATCAAGTTTTCAAGTAATCATTTGGACTTAGCAGCTGGGTCATGGACTGAGCCATCAAACTATTTTGGCCCACCAACAGCCCACCCAAACCACGCAGCATACCCCCACCCACCGCCATGTAGGTTCAATTTCAAACTCAGAACACTAACGTGCTGCCATGTTTTCAATTTCCCCCCATGACTTTGCTTCTAAATTTCTCCTTTCAACAACTTGATTTGGTACTTTCTTAAATAAAACATGTGAATAAATTAAACACATGAATAATGTGACTTCCCAATCGCTTCAACATGTGATTAATTTTAGCACATGCATCCACCTTTGTTTTTTTTTTTTTAGTTAAAAGGTATTGGCAATGGCACATTATGGTTATTGTGACATTTTCATCGGTTATGAAAAATATTAACTTAACTATTGTTGGTGTCAAAGTTTTACATCGGTTAGGAGACAAGGGTTTTGGTCGTTTATATAACACAATGACATTCTCACCACCTAGAGACGTCTTTTTAGGACAAAATTGTGCAGGCTACAAAGTCGAAAGCGGATAATAACTCTAGAAACCCACCTATCATGTGTTTGGATCCAACATACATCAATAGTTGACACCTAGAGGCGTCTTTAGTATAATAATATATAGTAGGGGTGTTCGGTTCTGGGTACCCTATATTTTTTGAAGGAATCGGAACTGATGGTTTCTTGAAATTTGGAACCAGAACCAGAACCGACGGTTCCGGTTCCTAGGTACCCAGAACCTCCGATTCCGATTTTGGGTACCTATAAAAATACAATGACCCCCCAAAAGTTTTTTAAATGGCAAAAAAACACTTAAAAATTTACAAATACCCCCCCACTTGACACTTGTTAATAAAAATAAAATTATAAATTCAAAATTACAAACTCCATTACTTTGTAAGATTCTCAAAATTCAAACCAACTTACTTTAAATGTTATAAAATATAAATATAAATGTATTAACATTACTTTTTTTACGAAAGTCTTTATTAACCCCCATACTTTTTAATTTTATTTTATATTAATCTTGGTTCCCGGTTCCGGTTCTTAACCATAGGAACTGGAACCGGAACTGCACAGTAACTATTTTAAAAATTTGGAACCGAAACCTACCCGTTGACGACCGTTCAGGGTTGGAACTAAAACCAAACTTTAGGTGTCTGCCGGTTCCGGTTCCAATAGGTTCTTTTGAACACTCCTAATATATAGTGATATATTTTCTCTTATTGAGAAAGCATATAATATTTAGCATCCCGAAAGTTCTGGTTTTTTTTTTCTTCTTATCTATATCTTTGAGAAAATAATTGAATTCCTTTAAATTGAATATCACATCCAAGCTCGGAAAAAGTATTATGTACTACAGAAGTATATTCCACTAGATATTTGAAGATTGATTATACAAACGCATATCTATTAAAGTATTTTTTTTTTTTTTTTTTTTTTTTTGAAAGATTCGAAATAAAAATTCCTTTAAATAAAAAGACAAACAAGATTGGGGGAAATATTTAATGCCCACAATCAATAAAATGCATCCCATATCTTCTTGATTACAAAATACAAGAAAGTGACCTCATAAACTTTTATGACTTTAGGGTATTTAATGGATTTCGGGGATTAGTTAAGGTAGTACAAGTTGACCCGAACACTTGGTCACAAAACTAAAGTAGAGTTTTTTATGAAAAAAAATGTTAAATTACCAAAAAGCTTACTATAGAAGAAAATATAAAGTCAAATTTATAAAAATAGAAAAGGATAATTTTGAATTTCAAAACTTAAAATAAGTTTTAAAAAAAATCTTATGGAAAAAGGATTAAAATTTTATGTAAAATTCTGTTTTTTTTTTTTTTAAATCTTATATACACTTTTGAGATGCGATCAAATAATATATAAAAATTTAAAAAAATGTTTATAATTTTAAATAGTTTTTTTTACTAATAAATATATCCGACCAACAACTCGTAAAATACCCGAATCTCAATTTTAGATCCCAAATAATTGAGTGTTGATTGTTAGCAACATTTTAATTATTAAAAAAAAAAACATATAACTTTACACGTAATCTTATAATTAACATGAATGTGACACATTGAAAACTTTAATATATATAACATTATCGTTGAAAAATAAAACCATCACATTCAAATGTCAACTTTAACAAATGTTTGAATATCTATTTAAAAAAAATTAAATAGACAAAAATATCCTTACTAAAGATCTTTATCAATAAAGTTGTTTGTCTAATATCTTAGATTGAATCATTGAACATGTAATAATGTATATAATATTTTTCAAAAGATATTTGACAACAAATTAATTTATAAAATAATAATTTTTTTTTTATTTTACATATTTCAATTAAAAAAAAATTCATTTGATGTTCATGATGAGGTTAACTTCATCGGCCTAACAAACTATTAGTTTAAGTGTTAGACAATTGTCGAAAATTATTAAATACTTTTTAACATTACCAAGATTTTTCGTAAAATATCCAAAAATAAATAAATAAATATAGGGATGAAAATGAGACGATTTGTGGATCAGGAGGTATCCCCACCTCTCTACCCCATTTTGGATATTGATCCTATTCCATGTATTGTTCCCCATATTATTCAAGCAAGCAGGGACGGGTAATCCCCACATGGGGAGTGTTTCCTCGATCCTACTCTACTCTCCGATTTATAGGAAGTAGTATAAATATAAATATAGGGTTTTTAATAAAATTAGGATATTTTATAGTCATATTTTTATTCAATTAATATTAATATGGTAAAATTAATTGAATGTTGGAAATTTTTTAAATATGGTAAAATAGCTAAAAATATAAGAAATATTAATAAGGGTATTAGATATTTTTCAAAAAATTGTTAAAAATAAATAAAAAACCGCCGGCCAAAAAGAGAAAACCACACATCACCGCCAGTCCATGGAATATCCCAACCCATTCCGAGCGCTTTTGCTGACGTGTATATTTAATTATAGTTAGCAGCAAAAAGAATACAAGATATTTAATTTAATAATATATATATTATTTATCTATTTAATCAACGAGTATAATATCTCCACCAAAATATCTGGCTCACATTAGCCCAAGATATTATTAGCCCCCTTCTTGCTGACGTGGCACTCCGCTGATGTAACTGACACGTGTAAAAAGTGTCGCCAAGTGGAGCTTTTATTGGCCCCCAACCCACCGTCTCTCTGCCTCTCTCGCATTCTCTGCTCAGTTTTCGGATCGAATTTTTTTGTTCTTCTCTTCGTTAATAAAATCACGTTTTTCACGTTTTTTTATTTACTCTTTTCCGATCAGAACAAGAACTAAAACATTTCTAGGAGGAGAAACGGTGAACAAACTGTCGCCGGATCTCGCCGCCATGGAAGACGGTTGTCGGAGTGAGTTGACTCGGTCTAACTCCGAATCCTCTGACATAACTGTTGAGAGCTCTTACCAGTATCCAAATGAAACAGTGGTAATTTCTGTTATTTAAGTACTTTTTTTCTTTCTTTTTTTTTTTTTTCCTGTTGAAATTTTTGTTGTGTGTGTCAGAGTGAATATTGTTGTTGTTATCGTTGTTATTTAGGTTTTCTTTGTAAGTTCAGATTTTCTTATTTTGAATTTTATAATTCTGTGGTTGAGTTTTTGATAGAGAGTTATTAACTTAAAGTTCTGGAGGACTATCCATGGAGATGGTAAGTAAACTTAATGAGATCTAGAATTGTTTTAGAAAATAGCTAAGCCTAAGGTACAGAAGGTGTACTAACAGTTTCAATGCTTCCACGGTTATGATTAGAGATTTTTTATGGTCCATGTGGTAATCATCACAGATATTGCTACCAGAATCCTAGGAATACCATTTTTAGAACCAATGTTAATGTGTGATAGGTGCTCATAGTTTTTTCTTTGTAAAGAATATAGAATTTAGTTTCACCTTTATTCTCGATTTTTCTAGTTTGATCTTTCTTCTTTTATCATTTAAGTGGTGGTATAGTGTGTTTTAAGGAAATTTTCCTTTAGAGTAATGCAATTTGAAAGAAGCTTCAATGAAGCAAAAATTGATCGGTGTTGCAACTCCTTTGTCCTCTATGTGGGTGTTGGAAAATCGATAATATGGACAATAAGTGGCTTTCTTTGCAATTTTTGCATGTTCTTTCCTATTGTTTGTTTTAGGTTTAAGAATTTGATATTTATGTATTTCGAAACTCTGTTAGATCTTCAGTTTTGTATGTTTTTCACTTTATTTAGGCTGGATGTACCTACTATAAACCTGGTCGGTGTCAGTTTAATTGATTGTTGAAAATTGGCAGCCACAGATTCTTGAGGTAGCACTTTGAAATGATTTCCCTTTTTCTAGGTAAAAGCATGTTTTGACGTTACATCATATATATCTTGGCATTTCCTTAGAGGAGACTCTAATTAATACTTGCAAAGGTTGACAAGAATGGACAAATAACTAACTTTGAGGTTGTTTTGTTTTGTCCACATACATATTCATTCTCATTTTTGTTTGTTTCTCGTTGATTGTAAGGACATTTGGTTGATAAATGGATATTAATCGTTCCTTTTAAGGATATATGACATTGTGACGAGGTCTTTCCAGTGCCATGTTTTGAGAACGTAGAATCACTTGTCGTCTATAACCAATAAGTCCATTAATTCAATCAGCATGCACTTTAGCACTTGAGGTCCTCAGTTCTAGTACAATTTTCTTGTTTACTATGGTAATTTGGTTTAAAATTGTAGGCAGAGTTCTTATCTAGGAATTTAGGCTGTTTATAAAATCTTCAATAAATGGCTTATAACATATCAGCAGTGTGCAATTACTTAAAAGTTGTTGCAGTTGGATCTAAATTTATTATGTACTGTAGTGCACTATCATCTCTACTTCCTGTGAATGAGTGGCTCACTTGACTTCTATTGTTTAAAGCTTTCTATTTTCTCATCTTGGTGGTTTTATAGCAGGGCCAATCTGCAGAGTGGACAAATGAGAAGCACAATGCCTATATTAGGCATTTAGAAGCATCGTTTGTTCAGCAATTGCATGAGTTGCATTGTTCCACAGGGTTCCAAGGATATCGATCACAAGAAACACGGGGACCATATACATCCCAAACACTATCAGCCCACACTCGTTTTTCACCTCACCAGGTTGAGACTTCAATCTGCTGGACATCTTCATTTTATTTCTTATTTTGTGTCAGCTTATTCATTTTTCTGCTCACTAAAAAATATTATTCTTGTTTTTTCAGTTGATGGTTCTACCAGATGGCTGCTGGCAGAAGAATAAGCTTACAGAGGAAGAATCTTTGTTTGAGAGCACAGCTGATTCTCATGGTACACTAGAAAGTCCAGGGATACGTCGTTTTACAACTGTAGGTAAACTCCAGACTGCAACATCTTTTGATCCCCAGGACCACAGTGTGCTTTGTGATGAGGGATACTATTTGGGAGAGGATATGACTTTCTCTGCTGAATCGGCTGGATGTTCAGGGCAGCACCAAGACTATCACTTATGCCATCAGAATTCAGTTGGCAGTACTACGGGTAAATTTGACTAACTTTGAATCTAGTGGAAGGTTTTCCCTCTTAGAATGTATACTCCAACGTCATCCATTGCTTAATAATCCTTAATTTCTCTTATCCCTCATAAATTCTTATCGGACAAACTATCTTTTTCATTTAATCCTTCAATGCTGTTAGAGAAGGTGATTTTTGTGCCAACTGGAAGTTTACATGAATGATAGCTAGTTGTCAACTTTTATTCTTCTCCAATTAGGTTCTTTTTTTTTTTTTTTTTTTTTTTTTTTTTTTTTTTTTTTTTTTTTGTTTGTTGTTGATTGGCTAAGTGAAGAGTGCCAATTTGCTAGCTGTTGTAATAAGCAAGCAATTTTCGTTTCAACGGGACATTTATATGAATGATAACTAAGTTGGTTCTTCTATTCTCTCACTTTGGTCTAGAGAAACAGAGATATTCAATTATTCATTCTGTGTTTTTAGGATGATTGGCTAAATAAAGAGTGCCAATTTGCGGGCTATTGTAATAAGAAAGCAATTTTTGTTTCAACTGGTCAATTATGTGAATGATTACTAAGTTGGTTCTTTTATTCTCTCCTTTAGATCCAAAGGAGAGAAGTTCATTTATTTGCTGTATTTTTTAGGATTATTGGCTAAATAAAGGGTGCCAACTTTCCCAGGTGTTGTACTAATCTTGTATTTACATGTGCCAAATGCGATTGGGAGATTTATGACTTGAGTGCAAATTTAGCTCAACCTAAATACATAAGACTATGAGAGTAATGAAATCATGAGTCATTAGAAGCTTGTAAAAAACATTATCCTTTATGTGTTCAACAATGAATTTCTCCTCGTAAACAGTAGAGAGATTTCTAATTTGGCTGAAAAATGAGACCACAAGGATAATTGAAAGCTTGTAGAAAGCACTGTTCTTGATATGCTGAACTATGAATTTCTCCTCTTAATGGTAGAAAGACTTCCTATTTGTCCATTAACCAGTAATACTGTCTATTGATATGTAGGGAGCACTCAAGCATGATTATGAGTTCTTAGGATGATAATTTTTTTTCTCTTTTAAATGTGTTTTATGCTGATAATTCTTAGCTTTTTGATTTGATTTATTTATTTATTTTTAATTTATTGATTTGCAACGAGGTCAATGAAGCTGCAAACTGTAGTTAGATTTCTTTCCTTACTCTAGAATTGATAATCTATGTATAGTTTTATGTTGTGTGTGACTGTGTTCCTATTCTTTAAGGTTGTGTGAGCATATATTTTGACAATGATACCATTATATTTTGAACTAGCATGAGACACTCCAGTGATTTAATTCATTTTTTACAGATATATTCTAGTCCAAAAAGTTAAGTAGTTCGCCAAGTTTTGATTTAGAGCAGCACCAACCACTTCTTTGACTCAACCATGTTGTCAATTGTGAAAGGCCCATGACATAATTTTAAAATATGTCAGCTTTTTAGTGTTGCTATTTTGAAATTCGATGCCTTGGGTGGGATTAAAGCTGATAACTGTTATACGTCAAAAAAACATATAAAGCGTGATTTTAAGAAAAGGAGAAAATTTCACTAGCAACATTAGCAACTTCATTGAAGTGATGTTCAACCGGAAATATATGGGTTTCCTTTTCAATGTCATTTTAAGGGGCCTTACTTTAGAGAAACCATTTTAAGGGGCATAACTCCTAAGGAACCCCATCACTAGAAACCTAGTGTGAACCAAGTTAAAATGGAACTTTCTAATTCAGAGTTTTAATGTTATGCATCTTGAACCATTTAATTGCATTTGCTGGAGTCTAGAATTTGTGACTGTTGCATATGTCTGTTTTGCATTTGCCAAGTACAGAAGACAAGCCGCGGAACATGGCAAGAAGATCGCAGACTACTGCCTTTGATGATCCGAAATCTGATCAGGTGATTTTTAGAATAATTACTGTATTTATCAATTTGTTTTCTAAATTTCCCTCAGATTTAAAATCACTTAATCTTGGATAGTTTGAATTTTTCTGGAGTTTCACTCTTCTTTATACCTGATGATTCAGGTTCTGCCAAGATCTGGTACGCAGTACTTTTTAAGAGGAAGCTGAGTTGTGACTTTTTGGCCTGAAGTTTGAAATTTAAACTTAACCCTCCAATGCACCCAGAATCTCCAGGTACCTAGCTGAAGAAGCACGAGAAAAATATTGGTGGTTATATTTTGTTGACGGTTCTTGCTGATAACTAATTGATGATTTTGCTACATAAGATCTTGACAGATAATAGGTCAGAAGCATCTGTATAAGAACTTGTATGTTTAGATAAGATTTGCAGTAGTTGCAATTGATGGATGAGTAAGTGGGTGGCATTAAGTTAGGTGTTTTAGATAAGTATACTACTTTATATTCATGTCTTGTATCTGTATTTTGTAAATAGAATGGCATTGTATATAGAAATTATGCAATGTATAATAGATGTAGGGAGATGAGATACCGCAATTTCTCAGCTATATCGTTAACCAGGTATCAGCCATGTTGTTGTCTGCATCTTTTTGTGTCATTCATCAGTGTCCTCTTATCAGAAATTTTAACTCACTCTGTTGATTTGTTAATTTATTATGATTTTAGAAGGCAGGCATTGATGTAGTTGAAATTGATGGAATTTTGTAATATTTTTGTTAATATCTTGTTCATTAGCCTTTTTATTGCATGTATATGCATATATAACTGAGGGTGTCAGGACCAGTTTATGCGTATTTCAACCAGTCTTGGCCGTTGCCGCCAACCAGTCGATCATTGATTTGTATTAGGGTGTGTTTGCTAAATTTCAAACTTGTAGGGACTTAACAAATTTTCAGGGGTGTATTTACTGAATTTTAAACTTTTTGACACCTGATTTGACCAGTGGGTCAAGATGGTTAAACTGATCAACCTGGGACCCGACAGCTTTGTTGGGTTTTACCTTGGGTTGGTTATTAAAACATTGCTTAGAATTATTGGTTGGGTAAAAGTTCCAGTGGTCACTCTTATTAGCAATTAAAGAGTGATTCGAACTCAGAATCTTTTGAGTAATATGTCTAAGAGTTCATATTGAATCATTCGACTGCCCAGGGGTTGGTTTATATTTTTCTTCGTGATGTAGGTTTTTTGCGCTCATTTGTTTTTATTGAAAGGCAAACGCAAACGGAAAGTGGACTGGCCGTTAAACTTTTTTCTAATGAGTAATGCTATGGACATCGAAATTTTACATCAAATTTTTGTACCGAAGGACATGGCAATCAGTCAGACGCGATCACGTTAGAGTCTTTCATGAATGAACGGTCATTGAACATTTATGGACGTTTGTCCATATTTTATGGACTTTCGTTCATTTTATATGGACGCTCATCTAAAAAAAAAAAAAAAAAATAATGGACGTCGATCCATTTTTTATGGACATATGTCTATTTACTATGGACGAGTGTATATATAAGATGGATATCTGTCCAAACAATTTTAAAAAATTTTACATTTACTATGGGCCCGTCCAAACAATTTTATAAAAATTTGCATTAAATGGACAGGGGTCCCTTATTGTTTATATTCATTCAATTTTTGTCATTTAACTTTTGTCAATGTTTAAAGTAATTGGACAAGTTAAAGCAATGGATGGACGCCCAATTAAATAAATTAATGCATAAATAACTTTTGTCAACTTTTGAACCATTAATGCATTAAATAAATTTAAATTTGTTAATATTAAAAGAGAAGACGGCGTTCATAACTATGGACGTCGGTCCATCTTATATGGACATATGGACGGTCGTTCACTCATATGGATCTCCGTCCATATTATATGGACGGGGATCTATTTACTACGGGCGGGCGTCCTGATTTAGAGGACGCTCGTCCATTGCTAAATAAAAATAAAAAATATTAAAAAAAATTAGGGACGGCCGTTCACAGGTCATGAACGGGCCGTCCATAAACATTGGACGGACGTTCATATGTTAATGGACGCCCGTCCTTTAATTTTGGATGGTTTTATAAAATATAAAAATTTAAAAAAATCTGGGATGGACGGGCGTCGGTATAGAATGGACGCCCGTCCATAATTTTGTTTAAAAATTTTTAAAAAAATATTTGGACGCCCGTCCCATTCCTTAGAGACGGGCGTCCCTTAATTATGGACGGTCGTCCATACTTAAGGGACGGCAGTCCATTCCTTAGGGACGGGCGTCCCTTAAATATGGACGACCATTCCTTAGGGATGGGCGTCCCTAAGGAATGGAGGGGCGTCCCACCTCTAATTAAAATAAAAAAAAGAATTAAAAAAGTTTTAGGTTTATTTAAAACTTCTAAAATAAAAAATTAGAATTAAAAAAGTTTTAGGTTTATTTAAAACTTTTGGGGAAAGCGTTTGAAAAAAAACAGCAGTAGTCTTCTTCTT